GTTGCCCCGAGAGGGGGTGGAGGCCCCATCCCTGGGAACATTCCAGGCCAGGTTGGCCGGGGCTGTGAGCAACCTGATGTGGTTCAAGGTGTCCCTGCTCCCTGCAGGGGGGTTGGACTAGATCCCTTCCAACCCAAAACATTCCATGATTCTATGATATACTGGTTTGGGTGTTTTTAGCGTTGCTAACTTCCACAATAAATTAAATATTAGTTAGAAGTCAAGAGGCTGCTCCTGCTTTGATTTGCAGCCAGGATCCAACAGAATTTCTCTATCTCCCCAAACAAGACCAGAACTTCCTCTGCAATATATTATTATGGAAAAATTTTGGGTCTTAGAAGCCACGGATGAATTAATCCCAACCATTCCATTCCTGGAGCTGTATTTTCTTTCTTTTCCTGGCTTTGGTTTTAGGCAGCCCACTGAAGAGTATTTAAACCAAACCCAGGGAACCTGGAGCCATCTGTGCATTTGCACAAGGAATAAATATGCCTGCATGTCACAGGAGAGACCTTCAACAGGCTCTCTGACCTTAATCCTGCCCCCTGTTATTTAATTTTCTCCTTCAGAAATTAATATGGATGTCTCCCCAGCAGAGCCACAGCACCCAGAAAAACCCATTTCCCTGCCAGACAGAAATTATTCTAGTTTTTTTTAACGTAATCCAGCCAGATGGATAAAGAAGGGTATGGAACATCACGGTGGAAATCCTCTTTATGGCCAGATGTGCTCTGCGGTCCAGGGGTGGGAGCATCGCTGGGACGACTGTACCTGGCCTGGCTATTTGAGGCAGCAAAACCTCCGTAGGGTTTTGGCTCTATCATGTAGCCGTGCTGAAACCGGTCTCAGTGCAATTAGTTTCAAGCTTCATTTGCATCTCCCAACCATCCTGGGTTGCTCTGGGTCCAACCCATTTATTAAAGCCCATCCTAACCCTAAAGGATGGGAATAAGTCACCATCCTGGTCCTTCGGTCTCTATAGCCACACACACCCTTACCCTCCAAAAAAGGGTGCCCTAAGAGCCCCAGCGTGTCACGAGCGTCCCCTCCCATTTTTAATTGCCTTCTGTGGCATTTCCTCCCATTAAATATCGAGGTACCTCGACATAAAGCACAACCGCTCTGCACAGCAGTAAGTTTTACTGCTCTGGAGCAAGACAAACTCAGGAGACAAATTAATCCTTTCCCCCGCAGGTCTGAGCCTATTATATTTTCTATCCATCAACCCACAGAGCATCTCTCTATTTCACAGGATAATGGATTTGGAGCTGCAGCCAGCAACCACTAAAAGCATCCTTTCCTCTCCCAGAGCCCCGACCCTGACATTTCCAAAACCAGCCCCAAACCCCGCTGATCCCATCGATATTTCTTGAATAAACCAGCCCAGCAATTTTCCAGCCACCCATTTGGTCGCTGGTGTGGAACCCAACTTTTTGCGGCATGTGGGCCACGGTTTTCCCTGGGGAAGGAGGATGGATGCTGGCCAGGCTGTGCAGATCTGGGCTGCGCAGAAGTCAGCTCCTCCCTCTCGCTATTTATTCCTCCCCGTGGCTCTGCGGCCAAGGCTGAATCACCTCGAACCGAGCAAGCAACGCGTTGCCAGACGGTAAGCGCCGGGGAAAATGGGACGCGGGGGCTTCGGGTGAGATAAATCCAGAGGCAAAGGGGATTTTAACACCGAGCAGCATCGCAGGGGACTGGGGGCTGCCTCCTCTCCCCGCCATCACTGCCTAAAAATAGACATTTTGGGCTCTGAAGGCGAGCCTCCTCCTTAAAAGACAGAGCTCTGCTTCTCGCCGCTGCTTGTTTATTCAGGGCTGATTCAAAGCTGCTGCTGGGAAATTTCTTACCCCCCTCCCCAGAGCTACTTGGAGGGTTTTGTTCTTTCCCATGGCTCCCAGCTGCGCAGGACTGTGCTCCCTCATTATTTGGGGGGGGCTAGAAAAAAGGGGG